GAGCTGCAGAATTCTATGCCAATTTCCTTTCTTCTCATATGAAAACAGAAAAATGTGTAAGCAGCTAGAAAGGACGACTAAAGGCTGGAAGAACTTTACCTGGTCTGTTGAAGCTGGATTTCTGTTGCAACATGCAAGGGCAGTAGTGCTTCAGGCAGACACCCCATCTGAAGGGCCTGACCTCCTGTACAATTTTATCCCATGTCTATTCATTGCTTTTAATCTCTATCTTCTGACTTCCATCCCTTTCACACCACTAAGAAACTTTCCGGTAATTTTTTCTCCCATTACATGGAAAGCCTCCTAGGGAACTGCCTTTTAATATGTCTTTCCATTCTCTGTTTCTTCCCGAAACCTACCTTTCCCTACTGTTTGGGCAGGCCAGTCTATGCTAAGCATAGACTTGCCACTGAGCATCTCACTAAATCCATGGTACAAAGAATGTAGAATATTCTGAAAGAAAAAAGTAGGTTCTAATCATTACTAGATATATATCTCATAAAGTTGCCACATTATGTTATTATTCAATGCTTTACCGTGTGTATAGAAATATTGGCTTCCTGACAGACATGGAGTTTAAATGAAATGGCCTGACTACAGTACTTTAAACAAATAGCATCAATCTGGACATACAAAAACCTTCAAAATATACTAATATGTTTTCAGGTTATATTGGGAAACCAGAATATCCGAAAGAAAAGCCACAGGAACACAGGGAGAACATAGAAATGCCATCTAGTGTTCCTAGTAGGAATCCCCACCACTATCCTAATGCTGCAGAGCTGCATTGCTAAGCAATCCGCTATCATTTTTATGGTATCCTTCACATAGCTGCCATTTGAACATTGATTAAAGATAAAGGATTTAGTCTGAGTCTTCCATTCCAAAAAAGAATACCTTACATGTGCCTTCTCCCTCTTGGATGCCTCTATAACTGAAGTTATGCCTTATCAGGCTCTGCCATTTTCAATCTATTTCACACCTTTGGCCTACATCCATAACTGGTTTGTTTTGGAATTTCTTCTGACTTGCATCACTAAAATACATCATGGACAGATTGTATAATGCAAACTAATTGCAGGGTAAGCTAATATAGAAAACAATTTTGAGGATGTAGAGCCATTAGCTTCATTTACATCTAATGCACTTAGGTTATTTTTATATTGATTGTCTTCTAGGTTTCACGTTTTATTAATTTATTTTTTGGTTGGTAAATGGTGTTTAAAAGCATAGAGTGTGCATCGGAAGAAGTAACCTGCATTGATCTGAGCTATTTCTACTCGTAGCTACTTCAAAGAGCATTTACCAGGTGTAATTCAGCACTGCCAACTGGTTTACTTCGTTTAGCTAATTAGATCAACCAAATTGCAGACCTGAAACCCGTGACAGTTCAGTGTCTGTCAATCCCTTGAGCATTTCTGAAATTTACATTCTGAACCATCAACCATCACAAAGTTTTGCAGCCTCATTATTTGTATTTAAATTGGCATTAATTTGCATTAACAGTTAAGTGTGCTGCGAACTTCATGATTGCTTTTTGTAACCTTGTTAGTAGGCTGTTGAGGCAGATATATTGGATTCACTGACTTTGATTTAGCTACTACTGCATTCCCTCACAACAGATTTTCATGACTAATCCCCAAAACTAAGCTGCAAAGCATAAATGGATTTATACGGTCAGTCCCAGTAGTTCAGATTTATGCAGGATGGCCATGATTTTTGTACCCTGAAAGGAACAAGACTTAATGTCCTTAAGGTGAAAGTAGAGTGTATTTTCAGTAAGTAAGTTTCCTTAAAGCTGTGCAAGGTCCTTTTACTTAAAGTACTCCCAATGCACATCCACGCACACATCAGATTGCTCCGCAAGGCATACACTAGTAAAAACCTGCCCTGTATTACGAAGAAACATCAGATGTGTTTTTGGTGAGCAGATGCTGATTGAGGACTAATATGTAACGCATATCAGTCCTCAAAGTACTCAAATAAAGCCTGGAAAGCTCAATATAAGTACTCAAATAATGCCTGGAAAGCGAAAAAAAGATGGCTTTGGTTGGTACAGGGGTGACATCATCCTCCTGCAGACGAGATCTCGCAGAATTGTGAGCATTCCAAATCTCATAATAAGATGCTGCAGCACAGTGCTGGGAGCATTTCCCCACCAAGATTTAGAGTACTTCACATTTCCCAGATCTCGCTGCTTTTCAACAAACTTTACCATACAGTGACGCCTTTGCACGCTCATTTCTTGGTGTGTCATTGTTTTTCATTGATTGCTATACATGGTGTTTTTGGTGAGCAGATGCTCTTTGAGGACTGATATACATTACATATCGGTCCTCAATGAGTATCTGCTCACCAAAAATACAGCTGATGTTTCTTCGTAATGCAGAGCAGGTTTTTACTGTGTATTGTGTATGCCTTGCAGAGCAATCTGCTGTGTGTGTGCATTGGGAGCCCATTAGACATAAATGGCCACACCCCCTTTAAAGACATGCACAGTACATGTAATGCGCGTTACAACGTGCATGGTAAAGCACAATAGTCGGTGTGAATGGAGCCTTAATTTATAACTGGAAAATCCATTTGATTTGGTGTTTAATCTACATGTGACTTAGGCATGGAGCAGATGTATACTGATGTATTTTCCTGGTTTATGCCTGTAAGAAAGCGCTTTTATGTGTGTTAATGCATATACGTGTTTCTCTTTGTGTAGTGGGCCTTGCATAATACAGAGGGGTCTATTTACTAAAAGAGTAGAGCATGTTCACTTTGCAAAGTGAATGTTCACTTTCCCTTGTTACTGAGGTGAATCATCAAAAAAAATAGATTTTTGCTCGCACAAGAATGGATGATTCAAGGCGGTGTTCTATCAAAGTTTGTGACTAGGTTGGAATGTGTGACCGGGCACATGGTCACACATTTTAACGTAATCCTGTCCAGTTTTTCGGCGGTGGAATGTGTGACCACCCGTTAGGTCAAGCATTCCAACGCTTTCTCAGCTGTTCCAGGGCAGATTGGCATCACAGATCATATGTGCAAGAGAACCAATCTGTGCTGGAGCAGCTGATTGGTCCTGAAATGTCGCTTCTATCTGACTTTGTGGAATGTGAGATCACACTCATAAAGTCTGATAGAAGTCACATTTCTGGACCGATCAGCTGTTCCAGGACAGATTGGTTCTCCTGCACATACGATCTGCGATGCCGAGCTGACAAAGCGTTGGCATGCTTGACCTAATGGGTTATCGCACATTCCACCACCGAAAAACTGGGCGGGATTTCGTTAAAATGTGTGACCACGTGACCGGTCATGCATTCTAACGTAGTCACAAACTTTGATAGAACAGCGGCAACGTGTTAGCTCATTTACCAAGCTAATTGAAAATTCATATAATAATTGCAAGAACTTGCGCTATTGGAGATTGGGGATACTAAAAAATGATAAAATATGAATAAAAGTTTGAATAGATAAAAATTAAAATGTTCTAGAAGGGTGAGGGAAGCTGCTGAACTAAAGGCACTCAGCCCCTATTAGGATGTATTTTCTCAAAACGTACAGCGCTAGCCATCCTTCAGAGGTGAATATAAGAAATCAGACGTTTAAGATCAAGGTTTGACAAGTGCTATTAACAAATGTGTATAATAAATAAATCAAACATTCAGTGAAGTGGTGTATCTCAAAATACTCAATGTGAATGGTTGTGTAAACAAATTAAAATCTGTAAAGTATTCAAATCAGACAATGTATGAATTTATCTAATAAAATGTGATAGGCTGTGAATATATGTATCATGTGTGGGTGATTCTTGTTAATAAATAGTGAATGAACAAACAATATATAACGAATTAATTAAATTAAATTAAACTTTTAGCGATGTATATGTGAATAGTCCAAATCTTTTGTAGTTTTTTAAAAAGTCTTTAGAAATCCATAAATGTAAGACACTTCGACAGTGAAAATTCAGTGCAATAATGTGTCCAACGAAAATCCAAAAAAACGAAGAAAAAAATGAAGAAAATTTTTAGAAAAAGTGCAGAGAAAATCCCCTCAAGGGAATGCACTCACCAGATCTGAAGATGTTAAACACGTTTGTTTCATCAAGGTAAGTCTTGATACATATATTCACAGCCTATCACATTTTATTAGATAAATTCATACATTGTCTGATTTGAATACTTTACAGATTTTAATTTGTTTACACAACCATTCACATTGAGTATTTTGAGATACACCCCTTCACTGAATGTTTGATTTATTTATTATACACATTTGTTAATAGCACTTGTCAAACCTTGATCTTAAACGTCTGATTTCTAATTGAAAATTCAGTTTGCAAAGTGAACATGGTCTACTTCTTCAGTAAATCAACCCCATTGTCTAAAATAATGACCATCATTATGTTGCGTGAACCTAAATGATATTTTATTTTGTGTTCTGTATTTGGCATCATGCTTTACAATGACTTACATTAGTTAGTAACTTACATACTTTAATTTTTTTTTTCATTTCTTTACAGGCATGGTCCAGAAACTTGACCAGAAGTTGCCTGTAGCAAATGAGTATTTGCTGCTTTCTGGTGGTGTTCGGGAAGGAGTTGTAGACCTGGATCTTGATGAATTGAACGTTTATGCTCGTGGAACCGATTATGACATGGATTTTACCCTTCTTGTGCCAGCTTTAAAGCTTCATGACCGGAACCAGCCAGTCACACTTGATATGCGTCACTCTGCTCTATGTCACTCATGGCTTAGCCTTCGATTGTTTGATGAAGGGACAATCACAAAGTGGAAAGACTGTTGTACAATTGTTGACCATATCAATGGCGCAACTAACTATTTCTTTTCCCCTACAAAAGTTGCTGACTGGTTCCACGAGTCAATCAGCATCGTGCTGTCTGAGATTCAGAAGAAACCTCAAAGAGGAATGCCTAAGGTGGAGAAGGTGGAAAAGAATGGCACTATTATATCCATCATTTTAGGTGTTGGAAGCAGTCGCATGCTGTATGATATTGTTCCTGTGGTCTCGTTCAAAGGGTGGCCAGCTGTAGCACAGAGCTGGCTAATGGAAAACCACTTTTGGGATGGCAAGATTACAGAAGAAGAAGTCATTAGTGGGTTTTATTTAGTGCCAGCTTGCTCCTATAAGGGTAAGAAAGATAATGAGTGGAGATTGTCATTTGCCAGAAGCGAGGTGCAGCTGAAGAAGTGCATTTCCAGTAGCTTAATGCAAGCCTATCAAGCTTGTAAAGCCATAATCATAAAGCTTTTATCAAGACCAAAAGCTATCAGTCCATACCATCTGCGTAGTATGATGCTGTGGGCTTGTGATAGACTCCCAGCTAATTACTTAGCTCAGGAAGATTATGCGGCCCATTTCCTGTTGGGACTTATTGATGATCTGCAACATTGCTTAGTAAACAAAATGTGCCCCAACTACTTCATTCCTCAATGCAATATGTTAGAGCACCTTTCAGAGGATACAGTCATTTTACATGCTAGAAAGCTGTCTTCTGTGAGATCAGACCCTGCAGAACACCTCCGGACGGCCATTGAACATGTCAAGGCTGCCAACCGACTCACCCTGGATCTCCAGAGGAGAGGAAGCACCACTAGCATACCATCACCACAGTCTGATGGAGGAGACAATAACCAACCAGATGATCGGTTAGCCAAAAAGTTGCAACAGCTAGTAACTGAAAACCCAGGAAAGTCTATCTCTGTCTTCATCAACCCTGACGATGTTACCAGGCCTCATTTTAGGATTGATGACAAGTTTTTCTGAGAATGTCCGATGCATTCATTAGGACTTCATGTGTAATCTGTGTGATGTCTTGTTTTTACATATCCAGCTTAGAATGGATTTGTCAAGAACAATCTGAAATTTTTTATCCTGCTTGTGCAGGACTTTGCAAAATTTGAAACAGTATATTACTATTTCATATGCTGCTTTGATCACTTTTTTTTTTACGTTTTAAGGGAGAACATGAGCCTTAATGACCATTTTATGTTTGCTATTGTGTCTATTTAATTGGTATACATGTTGAAACTTCAGATATGTTTTTTGGAAATAATGAATTGCATTGGGCTTCCATCGTTTTAAGTGTACATATACCAGACAACATTTAGCTACCAAGCTGATGCCTATCTGCATTAACCATTGTGCCAAGCAAACTGCTGGAGAGCCCTGGGTCATCAGTCTCATCACAGTACACTAGCTTGGCACAATTAACTGGCTTGTCAGCAAATGTTGTTCTGAAAGACCGTTTTAGGCATATTAAATAATTAGGAGCAATGATGGTGTCCTAAGTGCAATACCATACAGCAACCAGTGGCATTTACTGAACAAAGGCCTTATGTGTAAAGATATGACTGAACTTTTAAAGGCAACCTTTACTGAGAAAAATACACAAGCTGATATTGCTGACTTCTTCTGCAAATTATAATTGGCTTCAATACTTCTCGTCACCCTCCCAAAAATAAACAAGCATGCGGATTAGGGGTTCTGACTTCAATTGCATGCTAGTACTAAAGTCAGTCAGTATGACAGTCATGCAACTAGGAAGCATTCTCAGAAAGAGGACAGCAATGACAGCATCCATATCTCTCAAAATATAGGTTTCCTCTAGGCCTCATTGCCCATTTAGATTGTAAAACAAAGATGTGTGAAAATTAGGGATGCACCGATACTAGTATCTGTGCTGATACGGAGTACTTGGGTGAGTCACCTAGTAATGAGGGAGCATGGAGTTGGCTTCCCGGCTAATCAGGAAGCCCGGGCAGTGAGTCATTACACGCCACCCTGCTTCCTTGAAGGGGACTTCCGGTATCGATATTCGCTATCAGCAAGTACCAAAAAAAATATCAATAACGAAAAAATTGTATTGGTGCATCTGTAGTGAAAATGATACCTGTGCTATACTGTTGTGCTGCCCTGGCATCAAATGTACCGAATCAATAAACCTCTCAGTGCAGAGAAAGGTATTCTGATCATACAGGGAGTAATGCCAGCAATATTTCCAACACAGAATATCATCTCCGTGCATCTAAAATGAATAATTAAAGGTACATAGGGCAGCATGAAATCCTGAAGTAGCATGTCTCTATGCAGTAAGTGTAGATATGGCAGCCCTAGAACATACTCTGAATAGGGAATCCAGACCAATATGTCGGTTATAGAGTGGCACTTGCAATATCGGTATGCAAATCAGTTGTAATGGTATATCACTTGATATATTACATGCTCATAATGCAAGGCCTTTCTAGTCAGTGAAGCTGAATTTCCGGTTGGTTGATGCACTTTGTACATTATTCTTTGACGTATTGAATAAGCCCATTTGTGTTTATGGGAAAATATTCTAGTGGGTATATTAGTAGATGGTAGCTTTCTCTAAGGGTAAAATAAGCTCAATCTCTTAAGGAACCTTTTATCGAGGAAACCATCTCAGATCATGTGTGATTGGAAGGATCCTACTTTGAATTTAAAGATTTCATTCCAAAGATTGCTTTAGTCTTAAACTGATTCACTCTTCTCCATTCTTCTAGGTACAGTTTGACCTGTGAGAAAAACTCTAAATTGTTATGTTTTTCTGTCATGATTTCACTAACATTCTGTTCTGCTGTAATGTATAGAGTTTGCGGTCTGTTTTCTGTACTGGAAGAAAAGTCATGTTTATATCTGTAAGTCATCCTGTACTGTGTAACAATATGCTAAAATTATAAGACGGTCTTTTTTTCCTTGCTAGTTTTATGAAAGAAATAATCAGTAATGGCCTAAAAGAGACTTGTCATTTCATTTTGGGTAGATGGCAGTGATTGGCAACACACACTTGCTTCCTAAACTCTTGAGGATTTCAATCAGTTAGATTTTCCTTCTGCAGTTCACATCTCTGCCCCTTTAAACACATTAGGCCGTTATGAAAGCAATCAGATGTACAAGATGTACGCCACTTATCCTGCTGCATTGTCTGAAATGTAAAATGTACACTCCAGCAATAGAGACTGTGCAGCAGTGAGCAGTTTAACCTGCTGGCATCCTCTAAAATCTATGTTTTGGCTAGACCAATGCTTTAAAATGTACCGGTCTTGACATTTTGGAGAGGCTTTTATTTCCCAAGATATAGTCACATCATTGGGTTGCTATGCAGTGCATCTCTGCAATACATGCACATTTCCCAGTGTTTTATCTTAATAAAGACCCTGTCGGTACTGCAAAATCTATCAGAAAGCTCTTACTTTCCTATTGTGGGCTGACAACACAATTTTTCTGTGGACTGAATGATGTCAGCCCTGCCCGTTGTCTTTTGCTAAACTACTCAACCACTCCCACTGTCCTCTTATCCACAGCATAGGGACTAATTGACCAAGATAAGGGCTTGAAGGGCTAAATAGTCTTGTTGAGATAACACACACAGAAACCAGTGAACACCAAACAACTCTATATTTCTGCACTTATCAAAAAGATATAACAAAACCCTTTCCATGGTATATTTAACAGAACACTAGGGAGCAAAAAAGAGATGTTTTTGTTTGGGTTTACATGCATTTCAGATTCCAGAGGCCTGTCTTGCATTGGGGGATTGTACTCCTGTAAATATCTTTGGTCCACAGAATGGTTGCCTTCAATTTATGTAAGAGCCTCTTGCCAAAGACTGAAAGGATTTACGTTTGGTGGTTTCACACGTGAACTCTGAGGAGAAATCATAATCCTGTTAGTCTGTAGTATCTATATGTTTAAATAGGTGCTCAGAACGAAGTACAGTCCAATTTATAGATGCCCTTAAAAGGAACACTCCAAACTTGGAAAAATAAATTCCTGAAATATATATACAGGATGCACTGCCTATTTGCTGGGTTCTTTGTTTTTTTCATCTAGACATTTCAGTAGTGCAACAGGCTACCTCAGTGCTGGTTGTCAGTAATCTGGTAACCCCTGCTTGTAATGGAGAGCTATGCCCTGACACACCCACCACAGGCTCCATGCTAATAAAAAATGTCATTATTAAAGCTGGCCAAATTGAAGGTAATCATTCTGTGGACTAAATGAATATTTACAGGAGTATGATTCTTACTTTTAATTTCTCTTGTTAAGCTCCATGGGATGAATGAGAGAAATCCATTCATTACCCCTAAACAGTGAGGATGGAGGAATCTCCGCTGCCGGCTATTGTAATACCCAGACAGCACCTGCATCTGATTGGATGAAAACTTTCTCGCCAGCTCCTTTGACAAAAGTTGATTGAAAAATCAAATTCTGTTGAGTGGAGGAGCAGCGGCAGCACCACCCATGGCTCAAAATATTGGTCGGGTCATCAGGAACTGGCCGGCGCATGACCAGCTTCAGACGTTCCTCACAGCCACCAATTAGATTTAAACCTGATTTGAATCTTTCAATGTGATTGGTGAGACAGAAGGCAAAGAGAAAGTGATTTAGCATAGGCTTCAGGAAGTACACCCCCTACTGACCCCGCAAGGTGACCAGAAAATGACAGAGGTAAGATTAAAGCCAAACTGCGGCCAAAACATTGCTTTTTAGTTTGAATAGCATGTGGAAGGGATAGAACCTCTGTCAACAATTTATTGCTGTCTGGAGGATTTCTCCTCCCTTTCTTGAGTGACTGAGGAGGAGGAATCTACCGAACAAAGATTGAGACAAAAGAAAAAACACATTTTCAAGTAGAGTGAGGAAGCTTTAGACTATATGTCAAAATGTACTTGCTGCCACTGTCCCCATTACAATGATTTTCACAATCTGATACAAGGGACTAGGAAAGCAGAAAATTCTCTTCTACTGAGAACGAGACAGCTTTCAAACCTGGCAGAAGCTCTATCCTCTCCAAACGCTACCAAAAAAAAAAGGTTTGGGCTAGAGTTCAGCTTTAAAGTAAATTGAGTTAACTTTGATTTTAGCACAGCTGTGGTGTTTGCTGAATTGCATTAGTAAGTTACTGATTGCTTTCACTTTGCTGCCAAGAATTGCTTTTTAACATTTTCATCTTCCCATAGTGTATGGTAAAGCTGTTGATTATTCTGAAACCATGCATAATCATTTTTCTAGTCTGTCTTGTCTGTCTTCTAATATATCATCTCTGGTGCTAGTGGTTTTCTAAGCCAATAATAACAGACACAATCAGGATTTGTTGTACTTCATTTGCACGCAGCAGTTCATGGCTTTATCCATGGTTTCTTGTCGATTCATTATGATTAACAAACTCTGGAGCAAAGAGAAGGGCTGCTTTTGCCCACAACAACCAATCTCCTGCTTCATTCTCCCAGGGTAGGTTAGAGAATGGAGCATCTAGTGTAGTCCCACTTTTCTATACAGCAGGTTTCCAAAGTCATCCCCACTGTTTGTAGTTAATGACACGCAAGGGTCTATTTATTAAAAAAATATTTGCATAGCTATTCATCTAGTTAAATTGAATGGACATGAATTCTATGTGAATTAACCCGCTGTTGTGTGAATTGGGCAACATCGAATGTTCCTAGCCCATTTTCTCTTCTGGTTGAATATTCTACAAATATTATGGGCAGTAGTGAATCAGAAAAATACCACATTTTGGCCGATAGATGGAGCTGAGGACCATAGGAAATAAATACGTCGTATCTCAACAACAAGTGATGGAATGCAAACATTCAACAGAACGCTTAGCAATGCTTTAGAAACATTTAAATTCCCTCCAGCATTCTCCCGAATCATTACATTGTATCTCTTATTAGTAATATGTATTTGCTTCCTATGATCCTCAGCTCCATCTCGTGGCCATAATGTGGTATTTTTCCTCATCCACTCTATCAATGAGTCTCTTTTTACTATTACTCATAATATTTGAAGAACATTTGTCCAGAATAGAAAATTGCCTAAGAAGATTTGGTTTTCCTCCATCTCACAACAGCTGGTTAAATCACCCAGAACACATGTGGCTGCAGTTTCAATGGACATGCAGCTATGCAATGTTTCTATAACTAGACCCCTTACGGTGGAGAAAATTATAAATTAAAGTCCAACTATACACAACATAAAAATTGACATATATGATGCAGTCAATCAATAGCATTCACACATCCGAGATGCACTAGGTGCATACATTACCATTTGTTATGTGGTGTAAG